GTTCCCCTGCCCCCCTGCGCGGGCCCCTGCTGGTGCTGGCCCTGGGACACGGGTACAGACCCTGCTCCTACACCCACTCATTCCCAGTGCCCTCCCAGCCCCGCGGTACAGGCGGGGGGGCAGCGCGCAGCCCTGACCCCCTGCTCGCCAGCAAGGAAGGAGCTGGTGCTGAGCGCAGTGAAAAGTGGCCCCTCGCTCATCTCATGGCCGGCGCTCCCTGCTGCAGCCACTTGCAGCCCATGCAGGGCTGTCCTGAGCAGGCACAGGCAGCCCCAGGCGGGCTGCAAGCAGCTGCAGCGCAGGGTGCCGGCCATGGGGTAAGGGAGGGGCCGCTTTTCCTCTGCGCTCAGAACCAGCTTGTAACCTGCGTCCGCTGCCAGCCTGGGTCCCACGCAGCTCTGGGCTTGCCTGTCGGGGCTGCTCCATGGTGGCAGCAGCTGTGGCCCCCCTGCTTTCCGCGCCGGGCACTGTTTGCTGCTGTTGCCCGCCCAGAGCTCACGCACAGGGCAGCAGCAGCAAACACTGCCTGGTGCAGCAAGCGGGGGGGCTGCAGCTGCTGCCACCACACGCAGCCCCTATGGGCAAGCCTGGAGCCAGTGCAGGGCCGGGTTACAAGCTGGTGCTAAGCACGGGGGGGGGAAAAGTGGCCCCTTGCCCGCCCCATGGCCAGTGCCCCGCACTGCAGCAGCTCACAGCCTGCATGGGGCTACCTGTGCCTGCTCAGGACAGCCCCACGTGGGCTGTGAGTGGCTATAGCAGGGAATGCCAGACATGGGGCGGGGGAGGAACAGCTTCCCCCCATGCTCAGCCCCTGTGCTTGCGCTCAGCCCTTGCTGGAGCTTCTGGCTGGGGGGTGGGGCCGGGCAGGCTCTGCTGTTGCAGGAGCTCTCCAGGGCTTCCCCTGGGTCCTACTGCCCTTGGTTCCTGTCATCTTTGACAGGAACCAAGGACAGATAAATTTTAATTTTCTAAATTTTTTTAGGGGCCCCATGGGCTGGATAGAATGGCCTCATGGGCCAGATCCGGCCCACGGGCCGTATTTTGCCCACCCCTGCATTAAAGCATGCTGGCTTTCTTTAGGTCCACTTTCCATTTTTTTGATTTATGGTATTAGGGTTGGCAAGCCAGTCAAATATTGTCAATTGACTGCATATTTCTTGACTGGTTGAAGGTTGTAGAAATTTTACAAGAAAACTAAATATTTTTGTAGTTTTCGTGACACAAATATGATTCTTTGATTGTTTTTTGACACATTTTTTAATGGAAAAATTGTGGGTTTTCTCTGTTTTTTTTCTGGCCCTTTAAACCCAAAGACCAAATGTCTGGTCCTTTCTCTATGGACCCTGGGAGAGAGGCAACTTTGGTGCTTATACTGCCTCCTCTCTCCCCAGGCTCCCTTCCTGGATAGAGTTACCATATTTCCAGTTTCAAAAAAAGAGAGAGAAAGAGAGAGGGTATATGATTTTGTACACACGTGTGTGTGTGTGGGGGGGGGGGGGGCAGTTTCTAACCGCTACAGTAAATAACAAGTATCACTACCTCAGAAATTAAATGTAAAACAAAAATAAAGCCACAACCCCCCCAGCCCTGCCAGTGCCCCTTACTCCCAACCCACAGCTCCTGTCCCTGCTGGTGCCCCCCACTCCTCCTGACCTGCAGCCCCATGGTGTTGCCAGTGCCCCGCACTCCTGACCCACAGTGTCCTGTCCCCACCCCCCAGTAACCTGCTAGTGGGTGCCCCCAAGCTGTCCCCATCCCAACTGCACAGTTGCTGCAGCGGCTGTGGCTCATGTGGGCAGTGGCAGTGTGTGGGCTGGAGGGAAGAGGAAGGGAGGCCTTTGGAACCTCCTGCCTTGGGCTGTGGCTCCTGCACCATGCCAGGTGCCCTGGCCACAGCCCCTCCAGGCAGTGTCCTGGCTGCCCTGCCCCTGTGAGCAAGGACACTGGCCTCAGTGTTGCCAGCCTGCTCCCTGCTGCCCCCAAAAGGCCCCCACTACTCCCTTCTCCTGCTGGAGGGGCAGGTGCCTCCTCCCTGCCCCCCCCTGCTCTGCCACAGCCCCAGCTCCCAGACAGCTTCCCCCAGCGCTGGCAGGCACCTGTCCCCCCTCACATACCCATCCCCCCCCCCCACCCCCGCTACGCGCGCGCACACACATACACACCACCACACACCCACA